TTGAGTGAATATTTTGGCTATTCTACCCACCTCTGGGAATACATTTAAGTTTGTGACAAAATAGTTGACATATGAGGTCGAGTGTGTGTGTGTTAAAAGTGTGTTAAGGTAGTTCCATGCATGAACTACCTTAACACACGTCCCAAAAAGTATCAAACTTTTTGGGACGGAGTGTTTCGGCCCCAACACACATTTTCACTGTTTGTAGACATTTGGGGACATGCTTGATTTTTGGTGTGGAGCTTGTTTTGGGCCTCTACAACACTATAGTATGCATGGAAAATGGGGACCTAAAAAGGTCCCCATATTTCCTCAGGTCCCTATATTGAAGGTGTGTCATACAAAAGTCCGCATATGTCCACAAAACAAACGCGCACACACACACTCGCCTTCACATACACATGTTTGTACTGTAAGACACCATTAGCACAAATACAAAGATACCGGCCAACTCCAGGCACATAAACATAAACATTTCAAAACACAAATGCTCTCATTTAAATAAATTAGTTTTCCGCTTCTTCCCGGCTTAACACTTTACTTTGAAATAACCATTTCATGTTGACGTCGTCACTGCACCAGAACAGTTCAGACATTTCATGATGTTTCTTTCACAAAAGACTATAAAACAGTAAAAAAGACTTCACTTTGTCACATCATTCAGTTCACACTAAGCACAGTCTATTCAGGGATCTGGGAGAACCTCCCAGTTTCTAAAGTCAGTGGAACAATCCCACTACATAACTGTGTGATCAGACCTCTTTGATTCCTGGACAAATGTGCTGTGACACAAAACTCTGTCGGTGGAGCCTGGTGATTTTGTGGCACCAGGTGCTCCTGGTGATCCTGGTGATCCTGGTATTTGCAGCCAAAGGAGTCAGTGTTTTAGACAGAGGCCCTGCACACTGCACATGTCTATCGTCCTGTGCATGTGACATCCTCACAGTAGGTTGAATTGAAAAGCGCAGCTTGCAGAGCAGGTATATATGTGGCAAGGTGGTCCTATACAATTAAAGAGGTATGAATTAGATTTAAGAGGAACTACACAGCCAACAACACCATTAGCTGCTGTAGCGGCGCACTCTGGGCCTGAGCGCTCAGCAGCAGGTGTGACATCACAGAGGGGAGAGGTCTGATAAAGTGTCGGACCACTCTTCTTATAGAGCGCCACCTTCTCCAGATGTGATCAAATGTTTAAGCTTTAACCTGAGCAACTGAGGAGGGTCATAACAAGTCTCTCAGTTTTTCAAAAGACATATCTAAGTTACATCTCATAAAAACCAAAATAGATTGTTCTTTTTGTTGAGACAACCTTCCAATGGCAGAACAATGCCGATTAATGAGAGCCTCCTCCGGCCGCTGTGCTCCCAGGTCTGACAGCGTGATGTGCGGCTGTGGGAGACAGAATCTGGGAGGAGGCGCTCAGTGAATGCAGCGTATCATCATCTTCTTCATGGCCAGGTTTCCTCCGTCGCCCCCTCACTACAGCTGTCCTCTGCGTCTGATCAAAGTCCCGCGCTGCTATATTTGTCCCACAGTGATGAGGTGGAACTAATGGGCACTTTCACACTAGTTGATGTCATCAGTGTGCTTCGCCTGGGGAGCAGAGGGAGGGAAAGGCCGCGGTACCTGCTGTGAGCTTCTGCTAAACCCACCGCACACACATGTCGTAATGGCTTTTCTCAAATCATTAAGTTTTTTTTTCCTGATCCCAAGGGAAGCTCTCCGATTAGCATCTGTTTTTGAGGAAACAGTCTCATTTCCTGCTGATTTACAGAATATTTCCAAAACTGTCATATCCATCCTCTGTCTCCCCTCGCACGTGTGTCGGTGGCTTCCTAACAGGCATTAAGTGTAAGCAGGGGACTCTGCGGGTGTCACCTCCTCACGGTGCACTCCTCATTTAGGGGAGTGCGTGTCACCCTCTGTCAGCTCTGTCAACTGTTGGTGTGGGCTTTTTAGAGCGCCTAATACCAACCAGATGACAGGTTATTACTGCCCCACTACAGTCACAAGTCTTGACCACAGCAGGCCCCAGCTTTAACCCAGGCATGCAAAATGTAGAAACAGCTTTTTTTTTTTAAAGTTAGGTTGAGTTGTGTAACCTAATTTGATGATGAGAATAGAGTTTACAGCAGCTCTGGTGGCGTACAAGTCTCTCTCCAAGTTCATCCAAGACTTGTTAGTGCCATGTGACCCAACTCGGACTCTGAGGAGCACAGGGTCTGGCCTCCTGCTGGTGCCCAGAGTCAGGACTAAACATGGGGAGGCAGCATTACGGATTTATGCGACTAAAATCTGGAAAAGTCTTCCTGAAAATTTGAGACAGGATTATTCTCTGACAATGTTCAAATCCAGTTCTGTTTAGCTGTGCATAGAACTGAGGAATTTTATCTTTACTCTTTTTAACGTACTGCTATTATTTATGACTTTGATGTCTTGTTTTGTGTCTTTCTTGTTTTGTTTAGCACTTTGAGTTGTCTTGTGTATGAACTGTGCAATACAAATAAACTCGCTTTAAGTTTTGCCTGAAGGTGAAAGAACTTTTGCATCGGAGTGTTTGTTATTGCTTGGAATGTTGGGAAGTACTTAATTTAGAGCTCAGAGGCTAAGCAGGGCAGGGCTTTCTTAGTTCTGTGATGGGAGACCTCAGAGAACACCAGGTGCCACAGTAGGGCGGCTGCGGCTTTAAAGACACTTCACCCACATTGCGTAGAATGAGTCTTGTGTGGGTGTGTGTGTGTGTGTGTGTGTGTGTGTGTGTGTGTTTGTGAGACAGGGTGTGTTCGGAGGGGCCGAAAGCACTAACTGGTTGCCTCGCTTTTATCAGTCTGCCCCAGGATATCTGTGGCTTCAGTTGTAGTTTACCACCACTGTGTAGGGAGTGAATGGATAAAGTCATGTTTAGTCTTTGGGTGTCATGAAAAACGCAGAGCCACTAGCAGGGTGTCATGAAAAACGCAGTATGTATTAGTAGTATGCACAGAGCCACTAGCATTAAATTGGGTATTACAGGTACAGGGGAAACTTGGAACATTTGAACATCGTTGAAAAATCTCTTTATTTCAATTGTTCAACTTATAATGTGAAACTAATATTTGACAGACAAAGTGAGATCAAGCCAAACCCCCCTAAAAACATCAAAAAAATGTTGAATATTTTTGAAAATGGACTGTAAGCCATAATAATCAACATTCTAACAAAATATTTGTCATATGTCGCTTTGCATGTAATGAGTCTATATATTGGTTTCACATTGCATTTCACCTTTATAAACACAATGCCTAGAAGGCTCAAAGTTCAGCCGTTATACTCTCTTAAACCTGGAGAGTTTAAAAAGGAAAACACCAAAGTTTGCCTATAATTACTTTAAATAATATTTTGACTTCAGGAGAAGGGTGTTTTTAAATTGCCAAGGTATGCACTAACTTTTATAAACAGAGCCATGAAAGGGTGGAATGCATTGCCGTCCTCTCATAGAAATCCAGTATGAAACTGTCAAAGTGATTTATTTTTTATTTTTTTTAGAGATGTGTCACACACTGTAAATGAAAGTTTTTCATCTACTTTTAATATTTGTACTTTTTTGCTTTAATTGCTTTTGCTTTCAGCAATAGGGATCCAAATAGTACACTAAGCGAAATTACCCATAGTGTTATGGGTAATAATAACCCAAGTGTTATTAAATGTGCATACATGTCATTAGATATCCCGGATCATTCGACAAAGAACATCTAAAAAAAAAATCTCGTAAATTTCTATAGTGACAAATTGTTCCACAACAATATATCTTGGGCCTCAATATGTCCATCCATCCATCCATTTTCTTCCCCTTAATCCATTTCTGGGTTAGGGGGGTGGCAGTCAGAGCTGCACCCAGTCACAGAGCACCAGCCCCTCACTGATCCTCCTGCAGGTGGTGAGTCCACAGGAGCTGAGATCTTTCAGTGGGGGCTTCAGGCAAAGTGGGGTTAAGTGTCTTGCCCAAGGACACAACGACAGCAGTCATCAGTGGGAGTCGTGAAGTAGGTCTTTAGGTGGGCTCGAACCCACGACCTTCAGGCTCAAAGGCCAATGCTCTACCAACTGAGCTGCTGTTGCCCCGCCTCAATATGCAAAATTGTTGCTATCTTACAGTCACTTAAGTCACTTCTTTTATCAAGATATTGCCATGACTACACATGATATAATACCTTTTGAAATGGTTAAATTATTCAGTATATCCTTCACCAGGTTCTGTCTTTTAACAGCAGAGAGAGCTCTCTTAGCTCAGTTGGCACTTATGACCTCGGAGAAGCCCCACATGTCACTATATACTCTACGTATATTTTAGATAAATACATGTTTTTATTTGAGTATTATCACTTCTGTCCCCAGTTTACTGAGACAAATCCTGCTGTAAGCGACTAACAGGAAGTGATTGGACTTTCACTCTCGCACAGTTAAATTTGAGTTAATTATTCTCTCAAAAAAGGACAGGGCTCATTTAACCCTCTAATGGATCATCTTTTGAGTTACTATATCTACTTGAAGCTTGGAACTGAAATCTACCTCTTTGGGGCATCTTACTTGGTTTTAGTCACTTTTACCATCAAGCTGCATTTCAACCATTTGGTTAAAAAAACTAGGTGTTAAAAACAACCAAACATAAAAACAAATTATTTGTGTTAGTGTCATCTACATCCGAGAAAATCCAAAATTGCTTTCTTCAAGGAGTGAACATTAAAGGGTTAAGGATAGGGCTTGTTTATTTGTTAGGCTGTGATTGTGTCAGCAGTTACATTGTGGTCTTACTGATCTTGCCAAAATATGCATTGATTGCGGTTTTTATGAAAGTGAATGATGTACTTCTGGCCGTGAGAGTTTGCACGAGGACAGAATAGAAACCTAAAGCACTGTAAAGAGGCCCAGCCCAGCCCGCACCCGGCTGGCCCACCACTCCTGCACGCTCCCTGAAGCCTGTATCTGATCCTTTCTCCACAAGCCAGCCACTGGAGGAAATGTCAGTCTTCCAGCCAGGCAGGAAACCTCTGTGCCCATACATGGAGCTTCCTGTCCTGACACAGCTCTTCCTGTAGGCTATGTAAGGACTTTCCTGCCCCGTCTTCCCCAGTCGTCTCTCTCTGCCTGTGTGTGCCTGTGCTGCTCGCTCCCACTCTTTTGGCAGGCTGCCCTTCGGCGAGCTGCCTCAGTGCATGCTTTTTTTTCTCTTTCCCAGACTGTGTTATTTTCTGTGGTGATTCTAGCAACAATCTATTAACAGGACGTTATGGCCATTGCTTTTGCTTCTTTTGAGACGTGAGATTATTGGTCCCACAGTGGGGAGATTTCAGTGTTGTATCACCAGTTACAGAACAGTAGCAATGAGCACACAGCACAAGGTAAATGAACACAATGTCAATGTCAGCTTTATTTGTATAGCACATTTACAAAAACACCAGCTGCCCAAAGTGCTTCACAGGCACAAAAAGATAAAAAATACAAGCAAACTGCATAAAATACATACAAAAACATGTTAACAGTCAAATTTCGTGTTAAAAACCGAGGCGCAAAAATGTGTCTTTAGACTAGATTTAGAAACCTCCAATGAAGGAGCTGTTTGAACAGAGGAAGACTTTTCCACAGCAGATGTGAACACAGTACTGGATAAGATTAATGAACACAGGTCTATACTATTCTCTACTAAATAAAATAACATACAGTGACATTTCTAGCCCTAGCATAATAAGGAAGCTGTCTATAATCCATAATAAGTAGCAAGATAATAATTACAACATCTCTGACCTAAGCATAATAAAGAAGCAAGCATAAATCTAGTGCAGATATATAGAGTTAAAAAGTAAATGAGTATTGAGTTAGTAAAGTAAAGTAAAGTGACAGCCTAAAGTGCAAACACAATGCAACAACGAGTCAGGAGGCCCTTACTGGAGGAATTCCTGAAATAAATCCAGTTATGAGAAGAAAATGTGAAATTGAGCTGAAGTTGAGACTGCAAGGATCATTCACTCACCTATAAAAGCGTCACGAACCCGGAAAGTGCATACAGGCTATGTCACGCAAAAAGGCTTTGATTTGTAAAAAAAAAAAAAAAAGAATAATGTGCTTCACGTGACAAAGTCTGGGCCAACTTCCAAACTTAGCAGCTTGCTTTTGAGGGAGAAAGACAAGAGAGAAATGGATCAGAGTTTGAGGGAGTGTGCGTTTGTGATCCTGAGAAGCCTAGCCTTATTTTTCATAAAACAGTTTTCAATGTATCTGTGGATATTATGGAAATCTATAATATACAGTGGAATGTAAAAGTTTGGGCACCCCTTTACATTTTAGTGATTTTCCTCTATAATTCAGTTCATCTCAGTCCCCACACAATATTATTAAGAATTTGATTTAGATTTTTCTTTTGTGCTGCCTAAATGTATACACACGCCTACTTTGGTTTTAAATAATTCTTGCACATCATTGATTTAATTTCTGATATATCACTGTTTTTGCCTCCTTTATGATATTTAACTGAAGTTTCTTAACAACCAAAGATTTATAAAGGAAAATCATGAAAACTGAAAGGGGTGCCCAAACTTTTGCATGCCGCTAGATGTGAAACATGCTCATTGTACCTTCATGTATAATGTCATAATGTCACGTATCAGAGTTCTGGCCTCTGTGCTCACCACGTCTGATCCATCTGAGCATAAGCATCGCAGACCTTCCAGTTTGTGTGTCATGATCAAACTATAAACCTTCTCCCCATCTCTATCACAGATGCACTCCATACGTACACACGCACGCACACACACACACACACACACACACACACACACTGACCACTACAACACGTTCTTATGCACACACCTGCACTTGCCCGTCTCATGCGTGTGCACAAAGCGATATAAAATGCTGCATTGTTCCGCACTCTCTCTGTGACTCTGTGACGCTCTTAGTTATAAAGCATGTATTTTAACATGTTTAACATAATGATATAAAGTACATTTACAAAGTACTAAAACAGCTTGCCTACTCCAATTCAACTCAATAGAAGCATGTTGACCCATGCGTTTGGATTGAAGTGTGAGATTCAGAATGTTTGAACTGGATCATATTTGGACGCATATTTGAATCCGTAATGAATACTCAGTCTCTTGTCACATGTGACTCCTTGTTTTGTTCGGTTTTGTTACATGCGGAAAAAGCAGGAAATGTGTAGCATTAAATTGACCTGCGTATATTTATTGACTTGAAAATCAAAGATTAATTCATCAAAAGTGCTTATAGTAACTTTGAGATAAATGTTATTTACAGTTCATGTTCCACGTTTATGCTCTCTCTGACAGAGAAGCCATCCTCCTGTGGACCCACCTCCTGCAGGAGGATCAGTGATGGATCAAAATGATCAAAATGTTTCACCCTCAGGTCAATTTGACCTGCTGAATGATTATAAGTAGAAGGAAAATACCCCAAATTAGGGTCTAAAAGCGTCTACATGATCTAGGGCTGGCCAAGTTAAGAAAAGTCATCAAACAAAAATCAATTTACAATTTTTTCATATTGAAACAGAGCTGCATAAATGTATTGGGCTTACAACTCTTAATAAAATTGGGGTTTAAAAATGGATTTAAAAAAAAGTACCTAATAGAATCAGTTATATGCACAAACACATATGTTTTCAACCTAGTTTTGACCATGGTCAGGGTGGAGGGACCTCTCACAACCTCATGAAGACCGTTCCATGTTTTAACTGCATAAAACTGAAATGTTGCCGCCCTATGTTTAGTCCTGACTCTGTACACCAGCAGAAGGCCAGTCCCTGTGCTCCTCAGAGTCCCAGCAGGAGGCCAGTCCCTGTGCTCCTCAGAGTCCCAGCAGGAGGCCAGTCCCTATGCTCCTCAGAGTCCCAGCAGGAGGCCAGTCCCTATGCTCCTCAGAGTCCCAGCAGGAGGCCAGTCCCTATGCTCCTCAGAGTCCCAGCAGAGGGCCAGTCCCTGTGCTCCTCAGAGTCCGAGTTGGTTCATGGCCTTTGGTGTGAGGCCATGGAGAGCAGTACTGCTTTGAAGTCTATTCTCTGAGACACAGAAGCCAGACATCTGAGAACTAGACTTCCTGGTTCTAGTCAGCACTCGAACTGCAGCGTTTTGAAAGTACTACGGCGACAGATCTTTTGGAGAAAACAAGTTCCACGAGAAAAGAAAATAGTTAGTAAATAATACATTTTTTATTCCACCTCTTTTATGTCTGTTGTTACAGTGTTGCCTTTGCCTATCCCATAGACACAAATCAAAAAATCAAAAATATTACTTACAAAATGATTTCATTTATATAAGGGTGTTATATACACTTCTTATTTGTGGAGGCTCTTATTACTGTATTTACTGTGAGAGACATTCTGAATATTACTTTATGCCTTTGCCTATTAATATATTTTTTGGAAACTCTGGACATTTCATTGTTTTCTCACGTTCTTACGCAAGCAAAGCCTGCAGTGATTTAACCTCTGTCTGACCCTCAGCGAGTGAGAGATGATGCCTCCACCTAGCGCCACTATTGCAGAGTTTGAACTTTAACAGGACTTTTTTCATAGGTCTCTGTGGAAGAGTCCTGCCTCTGCACCTCCACTTGTCATTCTATGATGAGGTTAAGGAACAAAATGTTCATTTCACTCAAAATATTCAGAGCTACCACTGTGCCATGTGGTGAACCATTCAACAGGAAGCACCAAGGCGTCTGATAGATCCATCTCAGTGCAAGGCGAGTCGGCGACAACTCAAACTTGTGCAATGGGCGACTTTACACTGTCTTTGATGTGACTAGACATCTGCCCACAAAGCATCAGTAAGCCCCACTGACCTCTAAACTTTTATGAGCACAAGTCACAGAGTAAACAGGCCACAGCCGTCTCCTTTGCAAACCACAGCAATGGCGCTTTGTGAAAATAAACACATTAGTTGAATTCCAAAGGGAAAGGATTTCTTTTGATCTGTGCAAATTGATTTTAACAATATGGTTAGCATAATTTCTAAATGCACTGTTTGCTTCTTCAGACCTGTTGCGTCTCTGGTTTTAAAGTGAGATAGTTTGACAGAACATTACTCGATGCTGTTAACACACCTTGGAAACGTCCCCATCATGTGTTGCTCCACACAGTGACAGCTTCACGCACCTCGCTGAGCTACAGTAGCAGCTCTTCCCTCACAGGCCTGCCTGTCTTGCAGCAATTACATGATGTGCGGTAATTGCCAGACTCTGAAGCAGCCTCTTCAGACACACTTCAAAGCGAGTGGAGCGCGTCCACGGACGCAATTAACAAGATCAACGGAGCCCAGATGAGCTGGCGGCCCTGTGCTCTTCTCCCCATTGTTCTCATTTTCACTCTCATTAGTGCGGGACAGGGAGCGGCGTGGACACCTGCAGAGGGGCGCAGCTCTGTGCCGGGACACAGCGGCGCATGGCGCGGGACCACAGTGTTAATGATGGCTGTCTGCAGCTGCTGTGTGCTGTGGCATGTGGAAATGCAGCGATGGAGGCAGAGGTGTGAGAGGGTTGCGAGGCACCTGGGAGAAGATCACCACGGCAACTGGCCCTAGACTCCGCACCACTGAGCCTTAAACAAGTTCTCAGATGTGTACTCCTGACACTGCTCCTCTGATTACTGCTTCGCTATAATGCATTACCAAAATGAAACCAGAGGAATCTCATCTTTCTGTTTCCCTGATGAGCTGAATCACGGTCATTTAGGGAGCTGAGGCTGAGTGTTGCAGACAGTTTAAACTTGTGCCAATACATCTTCCATCATCAAAGCATCTCTCATCTGTCTTTGTGACCAAGCAGCTCGAGCAGCAGCCCCTGAAGAACTGAATATTGCATCTGTGAGCCACCAACTCAATTTAAAGCCACAATAAAACTAATGAGTGAATAACTGTATATGGTGCTCTACAATGCATTCAGCACCAAAGAGTAAAACATTATACTGTTCTCCTGTCTAGACCACTTTGGTCCTAGTTTTAAGTCAAATGCAGCTTGGTATGCTTGTAAAAGTGCATTGGTTAGAGCTCTTAAAAGTGCCTTTCATTTGTTTCTTCTAAATGTTTAATGCTGTGAAGAGAAAAGCATATAACAGCTGCAGCTGGTCAACTTTTATCATGTCCATACGCATTTAAATACATTAGTGTAGAAGTTGTGGTGAGTACCTCTGAGATAAATGGACTAGGAGATGAAGTACAAGTAGAGAGACTAAGCTAAAGCTTTTTTGGCAATTTCCTCTATTACTTCTCCTGCATACAGTGGAGTGTGAAAGTTCTGCCCATAAATTGGATCTGGTGTGGCCAAACCTTCGGATCCTCAAACACGTTCTACAGCTTTAAAGTAGTGGTTGTGTTCAAACTGTGCAGACATGTGAAAATCAAGCTGGTGTGGTATTAAGTCCCTATCCTGTCCAGTCCCCTTCACGCCAAACCGCAAGACTTTACAGTAGCCTGAAAAATGGGTGGGGGACGGAGCGAGCGCGACAACTTTACACCAAAAACAACACTGAGCATTTAATTGTTATTGTTGTTTGGCGCCGGTGAAAACTGCTCAAGTGAAAGCAAGGTATTAAAGCTGTTGGATGTGTTTCTTGTCTTGGCAGTCAGCCTGTTGGTGGGAATAGATGGAGCTAGCTATAGTTGCTGGCTGTGATTTGTTCAGCAATAGAAAGAGCTTTAGTACAAATTGTTCCATGCGGAGTGGAGTGTATGTAAGAATCTGCAGCAATATCCCAAACGCTTCAGCAATGTGTAAGAAAGGAAGTCTTGGCAGATGTAGCTGCTTGCACACATTTGGCGTAGACACAGGTGCAGAGCGGGACGCAGGCACACACTGGCGGAGTCTTGGCTGGTGCAGATCTGCGACATACAGCACAGTTTGGTAAATGTCTGTCTCTGCAGCTTAGCGAGAAAAAGAACACTGTGTGAATGTGTGTTTACATCTCAACTGCAATGCTGTGAAGCGGCTTTTCACAGCAGCCAGATGGAGATTTAGCATGCACCGGCGAGATGAAAATACACATAAGAAAACGGCACTAAAAGCAGAGTGCGACCTGAGAATGGGAATAGAGCACCATTCGGGAGCTTTGCATGTGCTTGAGGCTTTAGAAAATTAGATTATTGTGATATTTTCCGTGAAGAGCTGTATCTTTTTTATTTTTTATACTTTTTTAATAAAAGGGGAAAATTAAGGTGTTCCCTTGAGGAATGATGGCTGTCAGTGTTGGTCGTTACTGTAGTATTATAGTATAGTAATATATTCCTTTTCACTCAGTATTGTAACTCACAAAAGTGAAAATTGCCAATATATTACTAGTTGCGATCAAGGTACGTCAAGTCACTTACTTAATGTAAATGCACAATTGCTTTGTTTTATCACTTTTTTGCAATAAAAAATTAAAAAGGAAAAGATGACTATTTTAGTTATGATTTTGCCGGAAGTTCCGGATCGCAGATATAATGAATGTCCACCAGGTTGCAGTTTTATTTTGATCCTCTACTGTCTTTCACATCTTTTTTGCTTCTAGAACCAGACATGGCACACATTATTTAGAGTGAAATTTAAAAAAAAAAAACACATAAAAAATACTTATTATTCATTTGATTTCAAACGTTGAACTTAAATAAGTAGTTATAATTGACTATATATTTAGTGACACCCCTACTCCATGCACTCCGGTTTACCGTCCTGACAGGTTGCCTCAGTAACATAGATGATTGGGTCAGAGGACACTATGGGGATAATAAACCATATTTTACTCCATCATGCAAGCTATACTGTGAGCACAGCCGCCCTGGGAGGCAGCCCAACTCAGGCTGACAATCTATGCCATCAGCCAATGTGGCCATCACCAAATGCACACACCAGATCCATTCCAGGGAAAGAGAAGCAGTGTCTTGCCTAAAGACACAACAGCAGTTTTCCCTAGAGACTGGACCTCTGTCGTGAAGTCAGGCTTTGACGAGCAGCTGTAGCTGATATCTGTGGCACTGTCCGTTATGTAATGTCCATGATGTTCTTCTGCTGACCCACATCCATCAGAAATGTGTCTGAGTCTCACACATGTGTGCGCAGAGCTGGGAGTGGCAGTGACTGGCACATATACATGAGACAGACAGACAGAGAGCGCCTTGGCTTTAACGGAGTCTGTATAATTATGGTCAACCACACTCCCCGCCACCTTTATTTATAGGGTTACAAACACACTGGGCTCCATGGCTCTTACCCAGCATTCCACTGCACTGGGAATTTTTGTGGGGGGTGTAAACAAATGATATTTTAAGCGCAGTGATTGGGTAAATTCATTAGTTACTTCAATCTTCGGTTGGTGAAAGTCAAATGGTTTGTTTTTGTTCATATTGCTCCAGTTGCAAAATGAAGTTAAGTTATTCTGGCACCACCTGCATGTGAGAAACCGCATCGCGTGGGACCTCAGAGGCCAAGCAGGGCAGGGCCTGGTTAGTACTGTGATGGGAGACTTGTGGGAATATCAGGGGAACAGCAGACTGTCAAACTGTCATTGTGCCCTTAGGCAAGACGCATCACCCACATTGCCTTCTATGAGTGTGGTTTGTGTGTGTGTGTGTGTGTGTGTAACAATAGCTGTTAAAAAACATGTTCTTTCTGCATTCAGTCCCAGTAGATGGATCTGCGCTCATCAGAGGTCCAGTGCAAATTAGCAAACATCACATATTCCCTTCATCCGATTCAGAACAACAACCAGGGGCCAGGGGAGAGCTATAGGGTCGTGGGTAGGGATGTGCTAAAACCTTGTGCTCAGACAAATATTTATATTTTTCAATTCACTACAATTATGATATATTGTGTTAATTTTTTATTGAGTCAATATATGTGGTTCAAAAGACTTGTTTAAGTTTTTTTGAATAAAGGTTGGAGACTACTGTATATCATGTGTATTGGTATTGTATCGGCAGGCTCTGAGAGATACCCCGGCCAAGTCATGGGCGCCAGATGAATAACTAAAGTGTGTAAATGAAGGAAAACGTGAAAATGTATGTAATGTATGTTCCGTCCCTTTAACTTGTTTTTTGTAGCCGCGAATATCCCACAGTGAATCCAAATTAATTCTGTACCACTTTTCTTAACATACATCAAAAATTGTAGCTCTTGAAGTTAGTAAACATGCAATGGCCCAGATTGAGGTTTTACTCAGCTCTTCAGCAGCTGTTACAAAGAACAGAAAGCAGATAAGCTTGCCAAACTCTTGTGGACACAACTTATTAAGAATTTATATTTTGGACACTGGGGTTGGGGTCATGTCAGGGGTGGATACAGCTGCCTCTGGCCATAGACCTCTTAGGACCTGAGCCAGAACGTGCTCAGCCAGTGCCACTGTAGTCAATGCATCCATCACGTCTCAAACTCACCCAGGCAGAAACAGCATCTGGGCTAACATGAAGAGAAATACTGATTTTTTATGTATTTATTGGTTAACTGGGACTGATTCCAATATCACCTTTTAAATTTTCACTTTGCCTAAGCACATCTGCAGCGCAAGTGAGGGAAATGTAAAATGTAGCGGACATCCTGTGGTATTAATGACGTTCCAGGGTGAATGAAAGGCAGCCGCGTGGAGGAGGTGGCGCGGGAGGGGGAGGTCATGTGTACTGCCTTTTGCGGTGGAAGTATGACAAAGAGCGGTGACAGCAGCAGGTTGAGTGTGTGTGTGTATATGTATGTACTGTGTATGTATGTGTACTGTGTGTGTGTGCGTCTGTGTGTACATGTGTGTTTGTGTACAGTGTGTGTGTTTGTGTACAGTACGAGTAAAGAGTTTTACTCGTACTCGTAGAGTATGCAGTGTGTGTGCGTGCGTTTGTGAGTTTGTGTGTACAGTGTGTGTGTGTGTGTGTGTTCAGTGCCTATGTGGGTGTGTTTGTGTGTACAGTGTGCATGTACAGTGTTTGTGTATGTATATGTGTGTGAGTATATGCGTACAGTGTGAGTGTGTGTGTGTATATATCTGTGTGTGTGATTGTCTGTGTGAATGTGTGTGTGTGCGTGTGTGTACAGTGTGTGTGTGTGTGTACAGGGCCCTCATATTGACTGCAGGTGCACTGTCAAGGTTCACAGGGGGGAGGGGGAGGGGCGGAGCTGAGAAAATGAGGGTCTTTGATGCAAACTGGGGACATGTGTGATTACAGGGAGAGTGTGGTCAAATGCAGCTATAAGGAGACCTCAGGTGTGCTGCGGGGTTTTGATCAAGCTGAAAATTTGGAAAAGCGAAGGGGAGGAGGGGGAGGAGGGGGAGGAGGAGGGGGGGGGACGTTCATATGGAAAGTGTCAGTTTCCTTATGCTCAAACTCCGGCCGCTGTCAATTAATAAAGAGGAAACGCCAAGTCCTTTGTTCTGAGTGTTCACATAATCAGTTATAGCTTTGCTGTTGCAACCTGAAAACTTATATTTTCTTGGTAATGTGTTTTTTTAATTGGTTTCTAATATAATTGTGCTGCTTTTTTCTTCTTCTGAAATTGCTCTTTGAATATACTTTTTTAGTTTCTCCACAACTAAACTTGTAGAAACAGACTGGTTGTGTATCTG